GGGAATTTTTTGTGGAATTTGGATGGAATTTTGGTCGGATTTTGGGAGTTTTTTGTGGAGTTTTTTTTTTTTTGGTGAGTTTTTCTGGGAATTTTGGGGGTTTTTGTGGGGGTTTGGATGATTTCACCAAAAATTCCCAAAATTCCCGTTTTTACCCCTAAAAAATTCCCAAAATTTCGATTTTTATCCGAAAAAATTCCCATTTTTACCCCTAAAAATTCCCAAAATTTTGATTTTCATCCCAAAAAATTCCAAAATTTCGAATTTTATCCCGAAAAATTCCAAAATTCCCGTTTTTATCCCAAAAAAATTCCCAAAATTTCGATTTTTATCCCCCAAAAATTCCCAAAATTTTGATTTTCATCCTGAAAAATTCCAAAGTCTATCTTTTTATCCTAAAAAAATTCCAAAAATTTCAATTTTTATTCTAAAAAAATTCCAAAATTCCCATTTTTACCCCCAAAAATGCCCAAAATTTTGATTTTTATCCCGAAAAATTCCCAAAATTCCCGTTTTTCATCCCAAAAAAATTCCCAAAATTTCGATTTTTATCCCAAAAAGTTCCAAAAGTCCCGTTTTCATCCCAAAAATTCCTAAAATTTTGATTTTCTTCCTGAAAAATCCCAAAAATACCGTTTTACCCTCCAAAATTCCCAAAACTTCGTTTTAACCCAAAAAAATTCCCAAAATTCCCCTTTTTATCCTAAAAAATTCCCAAAATTTTGATTTTCATCCCAAAAAATTCCAAAATTCCCCTTTTTACCCCCAAAAATTCCCAAAATTTTGATTTTTATCCCAAAAAATTCCCAAAATTCCCATTTTTATCCTAAAAAATTCCCAAATTCCCCTTTTTATATTAAAAAGTTCCCAAAATTTTGATTTTCATCCCAAAAAATTCCCAAATTCCCCTTTTTACCCCCAAAAATTCCCAAAATTTCGATTTTCATCCTGAAAATTTCCAAAATTCCTCTTTTTATCCTTAAAAAATTCCCAAAATTTCGATTTTTATCCTCAAAAAATCCCAAAATTTTGGTTTTCATCCCAAAAAAATGCCAAAATTCCTGTTTTTATCCTAAAAAAATTCCAAAAATTTCAATTTTTATCCTAAAAAAATTCCCAAAATTCTGATTTTCATCCCGAAAAATTCCAAAATTCCCCTTTTTACCCCCAAAAATCCCCAAAATTCCCCTTTTCATCCGAAAAAATTCCCAAAACTCTCATTTTTTCAACTCAAAACCCCCAAAATTCCCCTTTTTCCCCCCAAAAAACCCCTTGGAATTCCCCCCCCCCCCCACTTTTCCCGGGAATTTTTCCCGCCTTTTCCAGGCCGCCCAATCCCAGGGTCTCCCCCCGGAATCTCTCGGCCCCTCCCCCCTCTCGGCCATTCCGGAAGATTCCGACGCCGATTCCCGGATCCGGCGCTTCCGGAGCCGCCTCGGCCCCGCCCTCAGGGCCCTTCAGGAGGCGGAGCCAGACCCGGAAGTGGGCGGGGCTTCCCTCGGAGACTTCTCATTGGTGGAAGCCGCCTGGGCGTGGCTGGAGGGGGAGGGGCATCCGGAGCGGGCGCGGCGCGCTCTGATTGGCCGGAGGAAGCAGCAGGTGAGCGGGGGAGGGGCTGGGATTGGGTTCAAAATGGCGGAAATTGGGGGCGGGGCTTCAGATTTTAATTTAAAATGGCGGAATTTGGGTTAAAAATGGCGGATTTTGGGTTAAAAATGGCGGATTTTGGGTTCAAAATGGCGGAATTTGGGTTCAAAATGGCGGAATTTGGTTCAAAATGGCGGAATTTGGGTTCAAAATGGCGGAAATTGGGGGCGGGGCTTCAGATTTTAATTTAAAATGGCGGAATTTGGGTTCAAAATGGCGGAATTTGGGTTCAAAATGGCGGAATTTGGGTTCAAAATGGCGGAAATTGGGTTCAAAATGGCGGAAATTGGGGGCGGGGCTTCAGATTTTAATTTAAAATGGCGGAATTTGGGTTCAAAATGGCGGAATTTGGGTTCAAAATGGCGGAATTTGGGTTCAAAATGGCCGATTTTGGGTTCAAAATGGCGGAAATTGGGGGCGGAGCTTCAGATTTTAATTTAAAATGGCGGAATTTGGGTTCAAAATGGCGGATTTTGGGTTAAAAATGGCGGATTTTGGGTTCAAAATGGCGGAATTTGGGTTCAAAATGGCGGGAAATGGGGACTTACTGGTTTATACTGGTCCATACTGGTCCATACTGGTTTATACTGGTCCATACCGGTCCATACCGGTCCATACCGGTCCACACTGGTTTATACTGGTCCATACTGGTCCATACTGGTTTATACTGGTCCATACTGGTTTGGACTGGTCCATACTGGTCCATACTGGTTTATACTGGTCCATACCGGTCCATACTGGTCCATACTGGTTTATACTGGTCCGTACTGGTCGCAGCTGGCGCTCCTGTCCCGCCTGGGCTTTCCGGAAGCGTCGGCGGCGCCGGCGCTGCGACGTCACGGCGGCGACCAATGGGAGGCGCTGCAGGAGCTGCAGAGGGGGAAGCTCCGCCCCTTCCTCTTACGTCACTTCCGGGGGGCGGAGCCTGGGCTGGACTTCAACCAGGCCGACCAGCAGGTAACTGGTTTATACTGGTTTGTACTGGTTTGTACTGGTTTATACTGGTTTGTACTGGTTTGTACTGGGGTTTACTGGGTTATACTGGGAGGGGCCAGGAGGGAGTGGTTTGAACTGGTTTATACTGGTTTAGACTGGTTTATACTGGTTTGTACTGGTTTGTGCTGGTTTATACTGGTTTGTACTGGTTTATACTGGGAGGGACTGGGAGGGGGTGGGACAGAGTGGTTTGTACTGGTTTATACTGGTTTATACTGGTTTGAAGTGGTTTTTGCTGGTTTAAACTGGTTTTAACTGGTTCGGACTGGTTTATACTGAGTTATACTGGTTTATACTGGTTCATACTGGTTTATACTGGTTTGTACTGGTTTATACTGGTTTATAGTGGTTTATACTGGTTTATACTGGCTTATACTGGTTTAAACTGGTTTAAACTGGTTTATAATGGTTATACTGGTCCATACTGGTTTATACCGGTTTATACTGGTTTATACTGATTTATACTGGTCTATACTGGTTTATACTGGTTTATACTGGTTTAAACTGGTTTATACTGGTTTATACTGGTCCATACTGGGATTCTCTCCCCAAATCCTCCCAGGACACCAAACTGGGACCACCAAAAACGGGGAAAAAAATCACAAAAAACGGGAAAAAAACCCCATACTGGTCCATACTGGTTTATACTGGTTTATACTGGTTTATACTGGTTTCTACTGGTTTTTGCAGGCTCTCCTCCGCCAGATCCTGGCCACTCTCCCCGTGGCCAGCTGGGGCCGGGCGTGGCTGGTGGCCGGGCTGGGCCGGGAGCTGGGACTGGGCCGGCTGGACTCTCCCAGTTTGGATCCTTTACTGGTTGAACTGGTGGAGGCGGTGGGGGCGTGTCCGGACCGGGCGGCGCTGCGGCGGCGGCTGCGCTGCGAGTGCGCCCTGTGCGGCTGGGGGCTGCCGCGGCAACTGGTTTGTACTGGTTTATACTGGTTTGGACTGGGAAGGGGAGTGGTTTGTACTGGTTTGTACTGGTTTGTACTGGTTTGGACTGGTTTGGACTGGGATGGTTACTGG